ACTACTACTACTGTTACTACCACTGCCACTGCCGCACGTTACACTTTTCAACACTCTGACTTCAGTTCACACTTGCTTATGCTGGCAGTTGAGATGCGTCCAAGATCCTAAGAGTCCTTATAGCAAACTTCCTGCGAAGCTGCAACCCAAGTTTGTAAAGCTTCCTAAACTCCTAAACCGTAAAGAACCCAACTGGAACCATGTAAAAGAGCCGAACACATCAATTCTGACGCTTATATTCTTGTACACGAACGGCAAAAAAAGAGTTAACAGACATCTCTAAATCCTATAAGCCCTATAAGCCCNNCCCTATAAGCCCTAAACCCTAACCCCAAAACCCCACAACCCTGCTCTCACAACTCGGACATGCCAGGCGAGGTTCATAGGTACGGGTCGGCGTGAAACCAGTAAACGCCCTAAGCCCTACACCCCAAAACCCGGTGTGTGCGATGGGGCCAGGCCTTAGAGCCAATCCGAGCAGCCGCGCAGCGCCGTGAGCTCGGAGTTGGGCTTTACTCTCCCTTTAGCTGTGGAAGCAGGTGTACCTTATTTTGAGGTCCTTATAATTCGGACCCTACTATTTTAGGGTACTACATTAGGCCCCCTATATATGTTACTTAGCGTTGCGACCGTTTCGTGTCTTAGGTACGGAGATGTTAGTATATCATTACGACGGATTGTTGTATATCATGTCATATCCGTCTATTTTTGTGGTGTAGCATGCTGTCATGAATCCCACGCTGCAGCAGTTTGTGTGGCACACAACAACCTGCTCGATCCGCGATTTTGCCGACTGTGGCACGGTGTGTATCAATGAGGCTCCCTCAAGAGCTTTCGACACACATTCAGCTTTGTGCGGGTTTGTAGCTTCGTCGTTTTGATTGTAACACCCATGTTTGGCGTTTTGCCCGGTCGGCAGTCGCCAGCCCATCTCCACGGTTTTCGACTCGAATCATTTAGGAACCGGTAGCCAAAGAGAAGCCAGGACCCCGAAGACCCTAAAGCCCAAAACTCCGGACTCCTCCAATCCAGAGCCTCTCCACCCCGAACTTTCTATATATATATATAACTCCCCATCACCCCACCCTAAACCCTTTGCTTCTTAGCCCTAAAGCCCTGAAGCTCGACCGCTTGAGCTCCTTCTCGTCCCAGGCGCCGAGGCCGAAGACCGGCAGAAGGAGGAGGAGAGATGGAAGATGAGGAGGTCTCGGAGGGTCCTTTGGGGTTTGGCATGTCGGGCCTTCCATCACTTTTAGCGGCAACTGGGATCCAGCGGGCTTTAGGTGCAATCCTGGTCCCAAAGCTCTACTCAAGATAGCAGCAGCAGCAGGAGCAGCAGGAAGTACCGGTTCTCATCACATCATGAGCACCTTCACTATCTGTCAGTTCCAGGGAGAACGTCGAGTTTTTGCACAAGCAGATGCAAGAGCTGCATGGCTGCACTAGCACCCTGAGATTCAGCAAGGTGACAGTGGAGAGCTGAGGGAGTTGCTGCCTTCCACCGCTCTCTTTCAACGCAACGAACAGCTGACATTTCCAGCTTGCGGTTTCTCTTATGGTGCGATGCAGCCTTGAGCAATCCAGCCGAGGAAAGAGCAGCGGTGCCTTCCTTAGTTCCTCCCCCCTTTCACGTCTCCCGCTGCATCGACAGATTCAGTGCTAGCCTGCCTTAGAGGTTCGGAGGGTAGATTGAGGGAGTCTGGAAGCAGGGCAGCGCTGGGATCTGGGGCTGCATCTTCCCCGGGCCTGCCCAGGCGGAAGAAGGATGTGGAGTTTGAGCAAGCGAAGCTGCGGGAGAGCGAGGACGAACCCCCAGTTTGAACCGCACTCTTCACTGTACCCCAATGTTACAAAGTGGTCATCCTAGAGTCTGCACCCCAGAACTCAGCAGCTCGCCGCCGGCTTGAAACTCCGAGACCACGGTTTTTCACGGGCCAAGACCATGCGGAGATGGGGGACATTTGCAACGATGGGCTTGCTGCAGGCAGAAAGACATAATGTGCAGCTTTGCAGGAGAAATCTCGGCTGTTCCAGGGGTCCACGCCTTGAGCGGTCCAAGCCTTGATCCACAACATAAATAATGTACCATATGTTATACTGCTACATCCCTTGATCCACAACATAATGTACTATATGTTATACTGCTTCATCATAAAACCACCTTGTACGATATGCTACATTGTAAAGCCACCTTGTACTATACAGAATACAAGATAATGAGATACAACGTAATATAGTACAGCACAATCTACTGCCGAACGCCCGAGCCATCTTGGCAGGTTTTGTCATCGTGAAGGTGCGAGACCTTTCTACATTTCGCCCAGCGATGTTGTACGTTTTTGCACTCCTGCGCACTACACCAACAGCAACTTCATGTGGGTCGGAAGAACCTGTGGTTTTTTCTCTACAGGCATCACACACGTATACCATCGTGACATGAAATCACAGGCCTATGCTAGTATGAAGGCTCCGAAATGGCCATGCGAGGACCTTGCCAGAAAGGAGGCCACCATCGAGACCAAGAAGCAGCAGGACGGGTGGACTCATACACGAACGAGCTTCTTATGTCGGTGGCTGCATGCGTGCTGTGGTTTAAGGTTGGGGTGTAGAGCTTGCCGGCATACACCGAAAGGTCGTGCTGATAAAGAGGGTTTGGGGTTTAGGGATGTTAGGGTGTGGGGTTACTCTAGGAGCCTAGGTCCTTGATTGTATCTATATCTGCAGCACTCTGCAGCTCCAGTCTGCCCGCTGTACGCAAGCTTCCCCTAAAATCCTGCACAAAGGACCTGCAGAAGAGACGGAGCCAGTCGGGCCCCGAGGTGTAGGGAAAGGCTGTGATCTGCTTGACAGCAACTTACGATTGTGTGTCATAGTCAGCGGAGCTCATTTTCGTGAGCAGAGCACGGAAGCAAGAGTTTTGGTTCTTGGTCACTTCCAGGGTTTCAACCCGCTGCATGGCATGGCTGCAATTGTGGGTCCTTCATAAGCCCCGCACTGCAGCAAGCACTTGCCGCCCTTCCGCAGACTTTGAGAAGGTACAGGCAAGAACTGGTGGACCAGATGGTCATGCGCCAGGCGGCAACAGAGGAATAGCCCGGTCGTCGTATCAGGGTGCCACAAGCATTGCTGTCTGATCTTCATACTTCAAGTCGAAGAATTTCGTGTATCGGGGCAAGCGCGGCAGTGTAGCGGGTGCATGCTTCATTGTGCGGTGTCGTAGAAATGGTAGTGGTAGTGGGAGCCGTGGGGATGTCTTACGAGTAGCACAGGTTGTGTTGGGAGTTTTTATTTTTTTTGCCTGATTGTTTTCTAGTCTATATTTTGATTTCAAGTTCAAAGCGGTTTAACGAAAGTCTGAAGCTTGCACTGATCAGAATTCAACCTGGCAGCTGATTTCGGTTCAAGAAGCAGCAACGCTTCGCAGCATGAACCCGCTTCCCGAAACATCAGCCATCATAAGCCTTAAACCTCAGGTGCAGTATCGTAATGACAGCATGTTGGCCTCAGCACAACCACTCAGAAGTCATATTTCATTCTGTACACCGAAATTCCTCAAGCTCCACGAGTTACTGTACTACACTTCCTAAGCCCCATGGCACACCCCAAAGCCTGAACCATAAAGCCGCACCCTCACACCCGCGGAAGACGCTTGTTTCGCACTTATGAAATGAAAGTCTACAAAAGCCCTAAGGGCCATGCCAACAACCGAAAACTGCAAACCTTGAACCCTATCTCAACTCCCTAAGCCCGAAACCGTAAACCCCCCAAGCCCCAACCCCCAAAAACCCTTTCAGCACCGAATCGGGCGGCTCAGCGGCCACCAGATCCGGAGGAGAGCCACGATTTGTAGCGGCCCCACAAATCACGATGGCTCTCCTCCGGATCTTGGTTGCCCTGGGAGTCTTGGTGGCCGCTGAGCCTGCTAGCAAGGGCCGGCAACTTGCTGTCGTCAGGGTGAAAACCTGCCCTGCGGCCCGGCTTCCGATCCCGTTCATCGGCACACTCGCTGGAGCCCTGCCAGAGCCAGATGCCGTGCGTCCGAGGTTCCAGGCGATGGAGCTCCACATGCGCTCGCTTCCCGGCTGGCACTGGACGAGCCCAAGGCCGTCTGGAATGCGGCTTCGGTGGCTCGTCGAATGTGGGCGCTGGTGTCCTTGTAGGCACCCACAGTATCCGCATGATCCTTCAAAGCGCCAAGCAACGGCATCCGGAAGATCTTCGACAGGGTCCAAAGAAGAAGACGCCCTCTTAACCCGCAAGAAGATGATGGCGCAGACACCTCGGTATGTGCAGTTTATTTTGTCTGCAACATCATCTTCTTGCTGGTTCTGACCGGCTGGATTGGGAAGTGATATGGATTTGGCTGGTGGTCGTTTTTTCCACGGATGCACTGCGGTGCTTGTTCTGCGCGGTGCAGGTGGCGATCATGAAGCGCCAGATCAGTTTGGCAGACTTTGCCATCTCGATAGTCATGAGCGTGTTTCCGGTTCTGGGGCCAAGGGTGGACTTGTTAAAGGACTGTCTTCTTGCTGGCTCCGTGCTTCAGCTCGTGGTCTGTCAACCTGAGGACTCGTGGAGGCGCACAGCAGGCTTTTGGATTGGAAACGCCGCGCTCCTCACCATCTTCCTGCCGGAAAATGGTGAGGAGCGTGGCGTTTCCAGGCGGAGGAATTTTGGCCGGCGTTGGTTGCCCGCCTTCGGTTGAGCAAGGCGGCGACGGGAAAGCAGGAGCGCCCGCCTCAAGCAGTGGAGGAACCGTCCATGGCTGTCCTGTTGGAGAAGGCGCATGAGAAGGCCAAGGGCTTTATCGTGCCCAAGCTTGTGGCGCAGTGCACTTTTGGACTGCTGTGGGCGAGGACTTGCCACAGGCAATGCTGGCTGGTGGTGTTCCAGCAGTGCTCGGGGATGCTTCTTGTGAACCTCGTCATCTCCGGTGGCAAAATCGCGGCGGTCTTTGTCTTGAGAGAGTTCATCTGGGGATCGGGAGTTGGGATGTAGTCAGTAGTCTTTGAAGTGCCGACTTGAGGCCACACGCGCCTCCCCTCCAAACCATGGACCGACTTCGCCTGAATTGTCCGAGTTGCGAGAGTCTACGGTCCGGAAAAAGCAAACAAAAAAGCAACGCCCAGGTCTGCGCCCTGGTGTCGGAAGTATAGGTGTCTACTACAGCTACTACTACATTTTCTAAAGGTCAGACATCTCCTAGTGGCCAGGCGGGCAAGCTTCACGGCCAGATGGTGCGGGAAGATGCCATGAGCTCCTGGGCAACATGAACCCCCGTGCCTGGCCCTACCTTTTGAAACAGTTGTAAAAAGTTTTCTGCTTCAAGTCTGCCAATAGCCATTCGTCTTCTGCTAACCGAGTGATGGACATGATGAATTCTTGATTTCAGAAGTCTTGGGCATTTGGCCTGCAACTGCGCAGAAAGCATAAGGGACACTTCAAACCAGACTGAACTTTGCTTTTAATTGCCGAGAACGGGTGTGGAGGTTTGGAGGCTGGCACCACGTCCTCAAACGAGGCATTGGAAGAGGTTAGACGAACTACAATATACTGTACAACTTGGTAGAGAAAGACAAGATAGTAGAGCATTCAGACAGGCACGATACCATAATTACGGAGAATAAGGGTTCTTCTGCAGTTTCAAGGGAGGAGCCTGGACAGGGCTCCCTCGTGGGAGCCCTTCTGGCTTGTAGCTTTCCCTCCAAGGTGAGATGGAGATCGCCCTCAACAAGGCTTGCTGTCGCCACGGCTTCGCTTTCGGCCATCATCGTCACTCCGCCCATCGTCGTAGCCAGCAGCATTCCAGTCATGGGGAGCTTAGGGCTATCAAGATGTCCAGAAACAGCAGCAACATCATCGTCTTCATGAACCATCAGCCATCCCGGACAATCTCCAACTGTCATGCTCCGTTGCTTCTGCGGCTTCTTCGTCTTTGTCCTCATCATCTTCTCAGCCTCCTCTCCTCCTCCTCCTCCTCCTCCTCCTCCTCCTCCTCTCCTGCACCTCCTCCTACTCCTCCAGCTGGTCATCATGATTCGTCTCGTCACGTGCTCTGCATCGCCAGGTTCTTCTTTATCTCAGTCTTGGTTTCGATTCTCATACTCATTCTCGTTCATGCCTTCGTCGTCTTTGTTGTGACTTCTACTTCCATGTCACCACCATCACCACCGTCATCATTCCTATCTTCATCGTCCTCTTCATCTTGATCTGCACGATTCTTTGCTGCTTTCCACCATCATCGAGCATCCAAAGTACGTGGATTCCTTCTGGCCAGCATCCAGAGGAGATCTGAAAGCTTTGAGGTCTGAATCCTGACTCGAAGGGCTTCGGGTTCCGATGTGTGGCTTTCGGCTCGAGAGATTTGGGATCCGTAGCTCCATGCGGGCTTTTCTAGTTACTAGTTGCTAGCTGTTCTTGGCAGGACATGCTCTCCAAACTGTCGGTCTACGACAGATGACTCTGCTCACAGCTCAGCTGAGGGGAGGGGCAGACTTCAAGGAATGCAGTCTTTGTAGAAGGCCGATGGCCGAGTGTACCAGCCCGAGATATCAACAAGCAATGCAGCCAGAGAGAGCAGAGAGACGAGAGCCTCTAGCCTCTGGGACATGGCCTGTCGAGGCTTATCTCAAGGCCTACTTCGAAAGCTGTCTGAGATCCCTGACACCGAGCCTGCGGAACTCGCGGGTTTGGTAGGGATAGGGAACCGAGGCTCATGGAAGGATTTGCGTTGCAAAGCCCTCATTTGCCTCATCTGGACCCGGTTGGTGTTTGGACGAGATCCTTGCAGACCTTAACTATCCACAATTCGGCTACATCCTGCCTAGGAGTTCGTGATAGTTGCGGAGGATGTTTCGCCACAACACTAGCGGTGTCAGCAGGTTAGTTTGCAAAAGCTGGGTGCAGTCTCAGGACGTCTTTAGTTGAACCGACAGTGAAAGAAGGCCGAACGTGGTCAGCAGTTCAGATCATCGGCATGGTCTATGAAAGAAGGAGAGTCATGATTCCCTGCTCAGTTCTGAGGCACCATATTTTGGTAGCATCGTTTCACAAAACCGTTGTTACTTCCGTCCGTGTTCCTTACCCAAATGGGCGAGGCGGAGCCAACGTAGGTTTAGAAGCCTGGCCATTCCTGTGGAAATGGTAATTCATCAACGAATGAATGCTAACTGCAAGCACGAAAGTGCCTTGACTACTGAGAGTTGTCATTTCCTGGAGGACCCCCCCCAAACCCTCGCCAGGCTTGTCCCAGTTGTGAGTGCTGAAATCCCAAACTGATAACCCTAAGCCCTAAACTCGAAGCCATGCGTCCTCAGGGCTTTTGGAATCTTTGATGCCTTGATCGCATGCTCAATGCGACTGCGACAATGAACCTCGTGACAGGAAGGGTCAGAAAGGTGTGGGCACCACTCCCGAAATGGAGCGGATGTTGGATTGGAAGGCCTAAAGCCAATGCAGCTCTCACCGGCTCCAGGCTTGTCTGATCTTGGAGGGTTGCAAGCTGGTTTCGGATCTGTTAGGTCCTTGGCGTCGCAAGTAGGGTGATGAAGTGAGGCTCTGCAGTTGCTGCAGGATCCTGGGCAGAGTAGATTAGCAGGTTTTTGGGTTTAGGGTACCCTGTTGCAACTCCCTTGCAGATTGCCGGGACCGGTGAAGCTGCTCCTCTTTCTCCTGGCCAAAGCTTCTGCCAAGAGATGGGAAAAGAATGGAATCACCCCATCACAGGGTTTGGGGACGCTTAGGGCTTGGGGTTTAGGGTTTTAGGGTCTTCCCGTTTTGCCAGAGAGAGAGAGAGAGAGGGCTAGGGGAGCTCCCCTAGCCCATAGCCGTAGCCCTGACGAAAGAAAGGGAGAGAGAGGGAGAGACCCGGGTTCCCCCGGTATCATAGCCCTGGCGAAAGAAATAGAGGGTCTTTAGGAGGCACCTTCCCCAACAGTACAATCCAAAGCCTTAAGTATTAAGTGCACAACAGTTTTACCCGCAGCTTCTTCTCTGATGGGGAATCTTCTCCTTTGGATCTAGAATCTTTCTCGTGTTCGTATCATTCGTATCATCCATATGCAGGACAAGGGTGAGATGGTACGTTGCTTTTGTATTTTTCCGAAACGGGGCAACGCCAAGATGCATTCATGGACACGCCAGTGCTTTCATGCCTGTAAACACGATATGTAGTGGCATGCGGCATATGCGCACATGCATCGTCGCACTGCATATGCACATACCATATATCTACCAACACACAGACACGTATGTGTAATGACACGTGCCGAGTTTACTGGTCTGGGTGGCGCTGCACACAAGTACACTGTCCGCGAGCATTCGAAGATACTTGGAGTGAAGCTTGGGGTCTGTTACCATTCCTCCGCACATGAAGCATGAGCATGCGTGCTTTCAGACAGTGCAGAGCAGGGTGCTGTTCGATCCTTCGCTCTGCTATACGGTGGGTGCCGGACACTGCTTCGGCGTACTAGACTACATACTGGTTTTGCCCCACATCTGCAATACAACACCTTGCAGAAACTTATGTCCGGGTGAGATACAGTAAACCAAAAAGGAACACAACACAGCTTGCTGCATGACCGTGTGACAGGCAACTCTGCAGCATAGCACGGCATGTGATAAGAAGTTTGTGTATTGCTTGTTTCCTTACTACCGCCGCCTTATTCTTGTACTTATGTATCAAGTATGACACACGTCGTTACGAACCGTGGAAAGCGTTTCGGTCTGACGGGACTTTAGATCCGAAGGCCTAAACCCTAAACCCTTGGCTGGTACACTTCTGTGGAGGCCAACAAGGGCCCAAACCCAGAAGGTATGAGGGCATGGAGTCCGACCTGCAGCAATTGACACGAAGACTTAGGGGTGGAAATAGTTTATGTATGCGTTGCATAGGGCCCCTTGCTTCGCCCAAGACAGGATAGCTTACGTGGCAACATACTATATTGCATGACAGCTGTAAGACCCGCAGCACAAACGGCGCAAATCAATGCACAGCAGTTATAACAAGGCTACGCTTAGTGTCCTGAGGTCCTTAACAGCGTCGCGAAGCGCGGGAAAGATGCGACAGAGCGGGAAGCCCAAATACACTGATCGGGCTGTTGTGAGTTGGTGCCGTTGGAGATGTCCTGTGCTTCGCTCATCCATGTACTGCTCAGAGACAACCCGCCTCCAACAGTCTTGAGGTTTCTTCGTCTGATTTGTGCCAGGAGTGAGCAGCTCAGCAAGGGCAAGGTTGTAGGATGAAAGCCTGACGACCTTCATACTGTCTCGGGCTGCAGAACTGTGGCGGCTCCTTGGTTCGCCTCTGGCGTGGACATAACTTAGACTCCTGAACCTCAAGCCCGGGCCCTGAAATGTGCAGCCCTCCACTACTGGAGGCAGATGGCCGTACGAGCGTCAGGAGCAGTTGAGGCAGCGGATGAGTCGGGACCAGGGTTAATCCGATCTTCATTTTTTCCCTTGTCAGGCCTCTCTTGGATGCCCTGGCACGAGTGCGGCAGATTGACCCTGCCGCGCACAATTGGTGGCCCCGAGCCGAGCATTCGTGCTAACAACACCCCAAACCCTGAGCCTTTGATTGTCATTCCTTTACCGAACAATGTGGTATACACTGTGGCTTCTTACGTTGAGTGTAACGAGACAAGGTTAGCGTACGTGCGGGCTGTGGTTCACAGTGACGGAGAGTCCAGAGTGCTTCCTTATCATGCTGAACCGCTTTAGCTTTGCTGCTGCATGTTTTCTTGGATACGGCAAGAAGGCGTCCTGCATGGGCACTCCTCAAAGGTCTAGGGTGAGCAGATATGAAGCTTTGAAGGCAGTCGTGCTGGGGGTAGATAGTGTTTTCTCTTCTGGACGCGCAAGCCCAGGGCGTACGTGAATCCTGAGCATCAACACTGCATAGAGCAGGCGCTATCTGCCTTCACGTTGCAGGGCTTTCAGGGTTCTAGGGCTTGGAGAATTGCATCTACAATGCACAGCAGCGGTCCAGGTCGACAAGTTCACCTCCAGCTATGAGCTAGAAAGGGGGAGAAGTTCACATCGATAGCCTGCGAATATCACCGACAGCCACCGCTCTTTGATTCCCAACTGCTCAAGGCGGTGTCAGTGTCTTCCACTTGGCCAGGACAGCTTCCGGGTTATCATGAGCGAGTACCTTTGCTTAACGGCTCACCTTGAGGTGCCAGGGCTTTACGTCAGCTGATGCAGCTTCTGATGTGAAGTAGTCGCGAGTGATGCACTAAGCCTGCTGATGATAGGAGGCAGGATGAGCTGTGCATGCTAGTGAACAGTTAATGCGTTTCGTGCCTTAGACTGGTTTCCTCAACACTGCTATCATTCAGAATTGGGGAGGCAAGGGCCACCCCCCTCCTCGAATGTGCACAACACACCAGAGTACAGCATTGAACGGAATGGACAAAGCATGTCAGCAAACAGCACTAGTCGCGCGGACAAGCAAACTTTGCAGCAAGAAGCAGTCTTTAGTAGCCTGAAAAAGAGAAGCAAAAAAGCCATAAACACGAGAGGGACGATGACGTTCTCGAAGACAGGAAGGATATGTGAATGGCAAGGCGAGTATGAAGCACAGCCACATTGTGTATGTTTCCCCGCCGTGTCTACCCATGCAGATTTGATCAGGTAGATACAAGATCCATAGCGAAGACCGAACCCTGCACCTAAAAACACTCTTGGTTGCGGTTGGTTCTTACCTTATCTTATCTGATCTGCTCCTATCTTATGTTATCTTTATCTTTATAATTCTATCTGTCTTTATCTTATTATCTTTATCTCATCTTGTCTTATCTTAGCTTATCTTATGTTACATTATATCCCTAGCTACCTAGTTGTGAGAGTCGGAAATCTGCCTCGGGTACTCGGAGAGGCTGTGGACTTCGCTGACGGTCGCATCAGCGAGGCCCACTGCCTAAGGTGCCCGGGTCCCAGTCACCGGGCGGCTGAAGGCTTAGGATTTAGTAGGAAGTTGTAGGGCTTGGGGTTTAAGCGTTAGGGTTTAGGGCTGTTAGGGTTTAGGAAGGTGTAGGGTTTTGGGGTTTTAGCGTTTTGGGTTCAGGGCTCAGGGCTGAGGGTTCAGAGTTTGGAGTTTAGGAGTTTCAGACTCTTGTTGGTGTCTGAACACTAAATTCAACCACAAGGCCTGCAGCAGAAACGGATCATCAGTGGTAGGTGCGTCCATTTCCTACTAGAACCTGGGGAAGCATGCAGCTTCACTTGTAAAGCCATTCTAACTTCTGAGATTCTGCTGATTTGTTTAGCTCCAAATTCGAGCCGATTAGGGTTCATATCTGTAGGAGTACTTACCTATCGTGCTTCATCTACCAAGACGGAGTCCGAAGCCATTCTCCCGTACGATTTAAGACCCGGAACATAGAGGCTTTCAATTTCTCACTCTCAGGATTTCAAGGTTTGCCTAGTAGGATTTAAACTGCCTCGTCCGGCAAGTTCATTTGGGCACTCATCCTTCCGCTACAAGAGCAGTTGCCCCAGGCTGCCAGACTTGGCGCCTTAGCCTAGCGAAAGCACTGGGCCTGCGCGGGACTCTGTCGGCTTGCTTTCTGTGACCTGGGTCTGCGAGTACTCGCACATGCAACTCCAAGCACTTTAGTCGGCAGGGCTAGCCCAGAACTGTGCGCTCGCGGCGTTTGGGCTGTTTCAGCTTGCCGATATGTTCCAACGAGCAAGCCTCGCCTAGTTTGTCAGGTGTGAGCATCGAAACGCGGTTCTGCAAACTGTGAGAGTGCGAGAAGTCACTAAGGCTTCGGACTTCTGGCGGCTTCACGCTGACTACCGTCTTCAGCTCAGGGAAGAGTGAACGATAGTGAAAGCCTGTGGCCCGTGTTGCTTGCCGCGTGGGCTTGACCTTAACATGGTGTTGTGCCTGGTTTGTAGGGATTTGGACATTGCGGAGTTTGTGGCAGCTCCTCGATACCAAGTGAGACCCCGCAGTATTCCCAGAGACCCCAAACACCCACGGGCGGAGTTTGAGCATTGGCTTGAAAGCAGTGTTCAAACTCGACAAAAGCGACCAGTGGATGCCACAGCAAGCCACATCAATGATCTGAGGTCAATGGGGATGCCTCCAAGAGGTATGTCACTTGAGGCTCAACTGAATACCGGTTTTCCACTTCCTCTGGCTGGCCTGCTGCCCAAACTTGTATCATCATTTCTTGATTTGAAGCCACAGGTCGGGCCAGCCAAAGCCAATACCTACGAAGCCTTGCAGGCTGTCTCTCTCTGGCCTGCAAGGCGGATCATTTTCCCCAGTTTGCCAGAGAGGTCGGAAGCAGGAGATCCTCACAAGCCAACAGCATGGAAGTTTTCAACGCGAGGCTTCCGACAACTGCCACAAGGTGGCATGGTCTTGTAGGCAGCGCCGACTGCGATCTTGCGAGTTCCTTCAACGTCTCGAAAGCCAAAGCCACTGCCATGAACCTCAGACATCGACCCTTGCCAGCGGAAGCTGGATTGCCGGCATAGACCTGGCTGGGCGGAGGCAAAAAGCCCTGAAGAGCGGGACTCTCTTGTCTCGGAGGTCTCTTCACAAAAACTTCAAACTTCCATATCTCTTACAGGCAAAAAGTCGTTCTGCAACTGTGTCGTTCATGCGCCATGCTGAGCCCCGGCATCTTAGCTACATGACTAGTACATGACAGTAGTCAGCCTAAGAGTCAAAGATCGAGTCACAAGCTTCGCCTCGGCTTTTCTGGTTTGCGTGCATGGGCCATGAAGGGTATTACTAGCACCACGAAATGCGACTCATATTTTGCTGAGTGTATAGTTTTGGTTTGTGCTACGGAGAACAGTAGGTCATGATTACTTTCTAGCTCGCCCTGCCATTGGCCAGTCCGACAAATCTCAAAAGCCCCAACCTTCTTGGCCGTCCGAGTGGGACCTAGTCGAAACCCAAAAGGCCTCGACCTTGTGCCCTAAAGCCAGATATCCTCAGTTCAGTGTTACATTCAGCAAGCGACACAGCGCTTCTTTCAAGTAGCAGCACGCCGCCGCCCGATTGCCAGCGGGACTGCCACTCAGCCGGTGTTCTTTCAAGGCCTACGTAGGTGTAATGAGGTGTTTTGGCAACAACTTTCTGTCTGCAGTTTTCAAGGTTTGCTGTCATCTTAACTGAGCCCCCAGTTTCTTGGGGCTCCGGTATCCTTCATCAAAACGCCACATGTTACGTTGTTCACTGAGAAACTGCTTTCTGGTTGCGGGCTCGGATAGACTCCCCTGGAGTACACGTGCCAGGCGCCGCCCCTGCCCAGAGGGAGGGGCCGTAAGTTGAGGCTCGTGACGAGTGTATGCATCCTACTCTGTGCCCTCCTAGGCCGAGACCACCTTTTGCCATGGGCATCAGGCGGCGAAAGGCAGTGAAGGGGCCTTGGGTCTCTCGGGTCTGTAACCCTGAAGGAGACATCCGAAAGCTCTTGGAAGCTACAGCCTGCATCCGAAGCTCCCAACTGAGATGTCCATGAATGCTTCATCATTACCACCGATGCCGGAACATCACCACCAAGTTCATGTTGTGTTTTCGACCTGAACCGGTTTCGCAGTTGCAGTCACTTGTATTTGTCGGTAGGGCCCGCTCTCTCTCTCTCTCTCTCTCTCTCTCTCTCTCGCTGCTTGCGGCCAGTTGGAAAGAGACTGCTTGGAGCTTTTCCTTTAGAGTTTGTTCGGTGGCGGCTACACCGCCACACAAACAACAGCCAGTCCTCGAATGGAAGCAACTGCATGCTGCGATAGGAGCCTTGTTGTCGAGGCGTCTTGAAAGTGAGTTGCTTTATCACAAGCAGGGCTGCTCTTGCTCCTGCTTCTACTGATCTAATCTAATCTAGTAAGCTGAGATCCACTCAGTTTGAAGACGTTGCAAGCTTGCAGCTTGCGTGGCGTGCATGCGCGCGTGTCAGTGTCATGAAGAGAAATCTCCGAGAATGGGAGCCTGGAATAAACCCTAGGCCCTAAACATCCCTAAACCCTGAATCCTTCGAAGCCCGAAGTGTCGCTTGCTGGAGGCAGATTCGTGCCAGAGTGGACGGGCCACTCTGGTGATAGCCGCAATCCTCAGTGTGCGCTCTTTAGTCTTTGTGGTTGACTGCTTCAGCTTTTTTGGGGGATTGGGGCTCAAGGGTTGTAGGCACTCTTCTTGAGTGCGTTCAGGGTTCCAAGTTTTCCGGCCGTACGAGGGTTATGACTGTCTGGCTCCCGGCTCCTTCAACGCACAGGCATGAAACTTTGGCTGCATGAACTGACAGCGGACCAGACCATGGGCTATGATCATCTTGGTTATTTCCCTTGTGATCGAAAGCCTTCATTCGCCCCTGTGTTGCTTCTTTGGCTGGAGGGCAAGGAGCATTACGCATGGCTCATGATGACATATACCAGTAGCCACGAAGCCCTAGACCACGAAACAGGGGTGTCCACCCTGTGACCGAGCGTGGCAATGGCATAATGGGCCGCTTTGCATACAAATACAGCCTGGATGAGGTTGGGAAGGACCGGAACCTTGTGACATGTCCTGTGCCTACCACAGTGTGTGCTTCGTGCACGGGGCAGCATGAACTAGCATCGCCGGAGAAGGCCCTGGTTGCCGTGGGCGAGACACCGAACTGGCGAGTGATCCAACAGCAGCTTGGGCACCAAATTATGTTGTTTTTGAGTCAGGGGGTCACGGCTAGAGCGTAGTGGTTTGGAGAATTCCTGGGAATATGTCTTGCTCGAAAGTTTGGTTTCATGCTGTTTCTGGTCGTCCCTACCAGTTTCCTGCCAGGCTGCCTTTGCCACCGACAATTCTACAAACGTGTCTTATTGCGATTGGATTCAAAGCCCCTGTCTGGCATGAGGTCACTTCATCAGCACCGATCTGCGACATAGCTCAATCAAGGCAGTAGACCTTCCAAGAACAGAATGTGTATTTTCATGAGTGGAAATCTCGAATGGCAACCTGGTTCATCGCACGAAGATGATGAGGAAAGTTAGTGTGATGAACAGGTTCCATGCGTCACTCTAAATTCTGCGACGGGTGCTACTTCTTCACCGCTGCCACGAGGAGGGCGACGACGACCACTATTACCTCTACGGCTGCTGCCACGACCCCGACCACTGCAACAACGATGACGACAGCTGCTGCTACTCCAACTGCTGCTATTAAAATTAATACAGTCAGTAGCACTGACGCTAGTTTCAGCACTAGAATTAGCACTCCGCTACCACTACCACTGCGACTGCCACCTGCCGCTGCCATACCACTACCACTACCACTACGACGACGACGAAGACCGCGACCACTGCTGCCACCATCGCCACCATGACAGTTGCGGCTGCAGATACCGCCACACGACAATTGGCCGCGGTTTGGTTGTAGCAGGAGTCGCGGAACGAGCAGTGGTCATGCTGGTGTTGGCGGTAGGAGTCAGAGTAGGGGTGGCAGTAGGAGGAGTAGCAGCAGTAGCAGCAGTAGTCGTCGTAGTGGTAGTGGTA